CGCCTCTCTTCATGACGGGATTCTGACTGGCTTGAGCTTTTGTGGGTCTTGTGCATGCTGTATCACCTGCTATGCATTCATCCATGCAGCTACCCTGCTATGTGTATTGTTTCCTTCTAGTCTCTACCTCCTCTTACAATCTTGCAATCTCTTAGGCCCTCTTCTGCTATGGTCTTACACTAGTATCTGGTACATAAATGATTGCCTTCTATTTAAGTGGTAGCTATTATTATTGCCTCCTCTATAATTTTCTTACCTGGCTTTCATATTAGACCAGGTGGGTTGGATTAGAATCTCATTTGTCTATTTATAGGACTTGGCAGAGACAGGTATATTCGTAGACACTCAGGAAATTTTTTTAGATTAATAATTAAATGATGTTTGAGTAGATGATGAATGTGCTGTTGGATGGATGAAGGGCTAAGTGAGTGGATAAACAGATGAATGGGTTGGTTTGTGCCCTGGGTTGATAAATAGAAAGACAAATTGTTAGGTGGGTGGGTGGATGGATGGATGGATGGATGGATGGATGGATGGATGGATGGATGGATGGATAAGTTTATGGGCTAGATAGGTGGGTAAATGACCAAATGTGTGGTTACATAGACAAGTTAGCACTTTAAAAATGATATACAGCAAAGAGAAACTCTACCTGAAGTGTTGTTAGGCAGCTAAAAGGCGATTCTGCAGTATGTGATTTATTAAGTTTGGGATATTGGTTTTTTTCCCTTCCTAAGCACAGCTGTCTTTGTGTTCAGGATTTTTGGTTTCAGGCAATCTGTTATCTGCAATCTTACTGTATCCCTGTAAATTCAGACCTTCAGTAAATCTTCTTCAAGGTTTAGAGAATACACACATGTAAACTGTGTTGTGGTCACAGAGCAAATATCTGTGACTTTGCAGCTTGGTTAAGAAAAGATTACCCATTATTAGAAGATCACGGATCATTGACATTCTAGGAGTTTCTTTGACAAGAGACAGCACTAGCTTTGGCGGCCTCCAAGATAACTCAGAAAAGCTTTTGGGAACAGGCACTCTGTTTAAATGGGAGGAAGGAAACATGTTGTTAGGAGGTGAACCTTAAAAGTTGAGAACAAGCCGGGCGGTGGTGGCGCACGCCTTTAATCCCAGCACTCGGGAGGCAGAGCCAGGCGGATCTCTGTGAGTTCGAGGCCAGCCTGGGCTACCAAGTGAGTTCCAGGAAAAGGCACAAAGCTACACAGAGAAACCCTGTCTCGAAAAACCAAAAAAAAAAAAAAAAAAAAAAAAAAAAAAGTTGAGAACAAAAAATTCAGAGGATCAGAATACTGAACAGAGCCTGCTGCCTAAGAGGAAGTAGCTGCCAAGAGAGAAGAAGCCCAGCTCAGGAGAGAGCATTCCAACTTCTCCACAGGTGCACAAAAATCCTTGACCAAGTGAGGAGTGCCCTCTCAGAGCCTTGGATTCCTCAAATAAAAGTAATAGTAACAATATATACTTTTGTAAGGAAGATTCCAGAGCTGAGGCATGGGGCATCATCAGGTCTGGTCCATTTTGGGGGCCCTGTTTTCTTATGTCCTCAAGCAGTGTAGGTTACATGGTGGTAAAGAACATGACCTTTGGAGAGATGATGTCATCAAATATGGATACTGGTTGTGTCATCTTCACCTCATTTGCCTCAGTTTACTCTCCTACAAAGTGAAGATGATAGTATCTATCTCTTTGGATAGTTGTAAGGGAACACATTAGGCCAATCTATGATAAGGGCATAGGACAGTGTTGGTACCTAGTAAGTGCTACCTGTATATTTGATTTCATTTTATTATTATTGGTAACTATTTTCACTATCCCCTAAAGTTTATTCATTGTCCCAGTGATGAAAGAAAGAAGCAGCATTTTTTTGTTTGTTTTTTTGAGACAGGGTTTCTCTGTGTAGTTTTGGTGCCTGTCCTGGATCTCGCTCTGTAGACCAGGCTGGCCTCGAACTCACAGAGATCTGCCTGGCTCCACCTCCTGAGTGCTGGGATCAAAGGCATGTGCCACCACCACCCGGCAGAAGCAACAATTTTTATATCTGTAGATGAGGTGGGAGATAAAATACCTTTCATCTGTCCTTAGCATATTCCAAATATAGATTCATATTGACTAATATTAATTTAGATTAATGTAATTTTTGAAAAATATTATATATTATGTCATATTTTATTTGGATATAATCTAAATAAAGTCATCTAATATAAATTACCATATAGCTATGGTTACTCTTAGGAATAGATAGACATTGCTTCCAATATTTGAGATGGAGAAATTAGAACATGGAGCTATTTAATTACTTGTCCAGACCATGCAGCTGTAAATGATGGTACTGGCGTGCTCAACCTTCTTGTACCTCCATGACCTGAAAGCTATTTGAAATGTCTTTCATGTGTGGCAACAACTTAGTATATGGATGAGGAAGCAGGTTGGGGGTGGGGAGGGGAAGTCTGCTTTTCTAAAATGTCACAGTGAGCAAGTGAAAGAGCTGAAATTAGAACACTAGCCTCTTTTTCTCATTTTTCTGAAAATAGGTAAAATGATTAATCTAGTTCTATTACTGTAACAAAATGCCTGAGACAGGGTAACTTACAAAGAAAATACACCTGTCTCTCATAGTTCTGGGTAAATCCAATGGCATGATGCCAGCATCTGCTCAACTTCTGAGAAGGGCCTTCTTGCTGCAACATCACATGGTGGGAGAGCATCATCCGCTGAACAGACTGAGGATGTCTCCCTCTTCTTACAAAGCCACCAGTTCCATCATGCCCCACCCCACCCCTGCCCTGACCCTGATGTTCTTTTCTGGTTTCAATCACCTCCAGAAGAAGATCTCTGATAGCATCAGATTATGAATTGGGGGCTCAATTTGCACCATCAGCTTCCAAAGAGATGGTCAAGCCATAGCAAGAGATGTTTGGATCCTGAGCTTTCTGCCTCTAAAGAATAACATTTTCGGCACTGCACCAGCTGTTGATGAAGCAGGAAAATAATCAGTGGCAACCTGTATGGCTAGTGAATGGGGATTTGATGACTCACATGAATTTATCCAATTCCTGTCCATCACAGATATGAGTCTTCCCCTTTCATTCTCCAAGGCCATTATTCATTTGGTCTAGGATGCTGAAAAATTTTTGTGGGGAGTGAGGTCACTGAGTCTTGCTATGCTGTGGTTCATTTTCCCCAACTCAGCCTACCAAGCAAGCACAATTTCTTTCTGTTTTCTTACTACTCAGTTTTCTTCTGGACTTTTAGGGTTATTGAGTTGAGCTTTGATAGCCCTGCCTTGGAGGCTTTGGCTACTTCTGACTTGAAAGGTGGAAATCCTGAGCTCTGAATATGTATTCTCACCTCTGTGGTCTGAATATGTGTTCACACCTCTGTGGTTATAAAGACCGAGTCTTCCTGTGACAAGCAAATGGGATAATAATTACAACTAATCAAATCATTCAAGGAGGAAGGGAACTATTCTTGCTTACTCAGGAGGATATTTGGGGACCTGAATTTCCTGGCAACCTTTCCCAGTCCTCAAATGCATCACTTATTGTCAGTGTAGCTAAATCCAATGTGAAATAAAAACATCCCTGTTTATTTTCTTACAACTTAAGATAAGTTACAACAAGGGGAATATAATGGACATACATGAAGGTTTGCAAATGCTTAGAAGTCAGGAGCTAGTGGGGACATTAAGAGAAGCCTGAAGGCAGTGATTTTTCAAGCTTCCTTTTGAAAGCTTGAATTCTTAGCCATATAAAATGTTAGATGATATAAAATAAATACAAATGGAGGTGCCCTGGCTTTGATGAGCAGTAGAGAACCAGCAGACCCATTTTCATGATATCTTCCCTCCCTATGGCCACTCTGAAGAACTCCTGGCATCCTGGAATACAGTTGGAAAACCATTAGCAGTAGATGAGAATGTAAAGGCAGAGTTTATTCAAGTTGGGATCTGGTGACACTAACTCTTCTAACTTCCTTCTCAGTACGGTGTTCTTTCATGATGATGTTAAAGTTTGTCCTGGTCCTACTATGTGACAAACAACCCCCAAAACCTAATGACGTAAAGAATTACTATTTTGTGTTCTACCTGGGTCTTCACTTTGGGTAGGGCATAAAGGAAATGTGTATCTGCTCTGTGATGCTCAAGATCTCAGCTATGATAACTTGTTTGAATTCTAGCTTGGGCTAGAAGGACGGAAAGTACCTGGCCATTCCTTTCTCTTTGTGTAACCCCAGGGCTTCCATGTGATCTCTCTGGCATGGAAGCTTTGGGAAAATTGAATTACTTACATGGATACTCAGGCATCCAATAGAGTCCCCAGCAAAAGGGACTACATGGCTTCTTCTTTTCTAAAACCTATCTTAGAAATCCCAGAACACAATCTTACTACATTTTGTCATCCAGCATCATCTATGACTCATTACTGTGGTCTAGATACGTGAGCCTGGAAATGTGGATGACTGGGGAGCTAGCAAGGATGCAGCCTGGTTATTTCCCTGTTTTGGACATGACCTCTTACAAAATAGATGTGGATGTGATCTTCGGTGAAATAGTTAAGATGAAAGGTGCTACTGTATCTGTTGTTGCTTGGATCCTAGGAACACTGGAATGTGAAAGTTTGGTAGTCTATTTCTAGGATGCCACAGAAAGCTACCTAAGACCTTCAAAAGTCTATAATTATAAGGAAGTTTGTTTTAGCTGTCCATATAGAAGAACATTCAAACAGTGCAAATGGCCACCAAGACACTTGGCTTCCTCTGCATGTGGCAGAGACAAGAGTCTCTGTCAGAGGTGAGGTCTCTCACTTCTTCCACCACTAATAGCAGCTGATGTGTAAGAAGCTGCATCTCTTTGAGCTTAGGGTTACTAAAATGATGTGCATTTCTAAGAATCATGATTTCATATAAACCTAATTCTTCTTTGTTTGTCTTTTCTTTTTCCCCCTCTTTTGGACATTTCCTTCATCTGACTGCCCATCAATATATAGAAGAAATGCTTATTCCTACTCCTATTACTTGTAAGTATCGAGCCGGTGTTAACTGCTTTGTGCTCCGTAAGAGAGGCTGTAGCATGCATTTCCTCCTGCACCAACTGGTTGATTGTCTGTTGGCCTCTCATAGCCACTTCTGTCTAGTCATCTGTAGTCCGGAAGTTTTGATTTTGTATGGATGCTTTTCCGTTTGAAAATGCACTGTCACTGTTCGTGTCCATTCTGTTTCTGTCATCCTAATTTTGCCCTCGTACCTTTGGAGATGTGAGGGGCTCGTTCTCCTTTGTGAGTCTCAATTTCTAATGAGCAGCACCTCAGTTCCAGAAGGAGGGGAAGGTAAGACAGAATCACAGATCTCAGGAACTTCTGAGTCCCTTTGTGCCTCTTCAGGGAAGAAGAAGTCTTGGGGACTCAAGGGATAGAAAAGAGTCCATTGGCTCTTTCCACTATACCAGGGAGACTACAGGGAGTCATGACTTTATCCAAATCCAGCCTCGAGGATGACAGAAACATCCAAGGTCTTGGCTTTAAGCTGAAATTCCCTGTTTGACGTTTAACATTACTTATGTCACTTCATCAGTACATTTCATTCACAGTTAATGATGGCTGCCGGCTTTTTACCCTTACTAAATAAAGGTGGTTTTGTTACTAAATCAGAGCTTTTTCAAAACATGTGGGTAAAGGAGAGAAACTTTATATAACAGAGCCTTGCTGATAAAAAGCTGGAAAACACTGAAATACTCCCATATTCCAAGTATGCATCTCTGGCTTTAGAAAATGAGGTTCATAGAGAAATCTAAGAGCTTATCACATATTCAGCCTGCATAAAAATAGGAATAGAGCTCAGAATGCCAGGATCTTAGTAAACAGTATTGCCCTCCATTCTAGGTCTTCCCTTACCCTTGGCAAACACAACCTTATGAGAAAGCCCTACATCTCAATTGCCTTCTGCTGAAACCTCTACAGGTGGAGATGGAGTCAGAAAGTGCTTCCCCACCCATTCTGCTCAGTTAGTGCCAAGCTGTGGGCACAGAAGATAATATCATCACCATCGTCCATACAGGGATCAGTGTTCTCCACCACTACTACCGAAGGTCCTAGAACATTTACCTCACCTCTTTACTCATTCAGCAAACACACATTGATTATGCACACTACATTCCAGTTAGATTTAGCTCAGTGGTAGAGCGCTTGCCTAGCAAGCGCAAGGCCCTGGGTTCGATCCTCAGCTCAAAAAAAAAAAGAAGTCTCTGCAATATTTTGCCATCTAGAGAGATGTTGTAGGTAATTTAATTTTCTCTAGAGCATTGTCTTTCCATACCCAACCTCCAAAAATTACTTGGCCAGAGATGAACCACTTAAGCACCAAAGAGCCTGAACAGACAAGGCACACTTAGTCATCCTGAGTAAGGGTAACTACCAGCACTGATCAGGTACCTTGTGTATACATTAGCTTACTAAGCCCTTATCAAAGTGCAGTTTGATAGGCAAGTCATCCTAAAGTCACTCAGCAATAAATGGGAGGGACAGTGACTTGTACTGGAAAGAGAAACATCTGAGGAAGGGAGAAATGGTTGGGAGCACAGAAGATAAATATGACTATAGATATGTGTAGTCTGAGGAAGCTGGTAGAATTCCCAAGTAAAAATGTCCCAGGCAACCTTGGGAATACAGAAGTAGAATTTAGGCAGGAGGGGGATGTTTGGAAGCATCCTCTGAGGATGACAGAGGAGAATATGGGGTGGAGCAATTAAGACTAGAGAAGGAGTAGGAGGAAAACAAAGAGTGAAGGGCTGAGTTTCCCAAACTGATCACGCTTAACAATCTCCAGGCCGAGCTTTGGAGGGGAGGTGCAGGATGGCAAAGCAGATAGATGATAGGAGGGAAGAGGAGAAGTCATTAGCTATAGAAGATGCTACAGAGGAAGGAGGTAGAAGGTGAGGGGACAGCCTGGTCATTCCAACACCAGAAGTCACTTCTGAGAGTTATGGGGTAAATGGTGGACACAGAAGAGGCTGAAGATGCTGGAGGTGGGGAAACCATGCAAAGTAGGGCCTGGAGGCAAGCTGTTTGGAGATGCAGATCAACCTAGAAGGAAGAAAGATGGGTCTGGACCATTGGACTGAAAAAAGGCATGGAAGTGGGAGGGGGGGTGGAAAGAAAATGTGTCAGCAAGATGGCTCACTAGGATAAAGTCCTCACTCTCAAGTCTGAGAACCCAAGGTTGTTCCCCAGAACCCACAGTGGAAGGAGAGAACCCACTCCTGAAGTTGTACTCTGACTTCTATACGCATGCTACAGTATGCACGTATATGCACTCTCACATACACATAAGTAAAACAAAAGTTAAGAAAATATCAGACAAGAATGAAAGACAGACAATGATGGTCTCCAAGCTCCCCAGATATGAAAGCCTTACTCTAAGTACTAGGGTAGATCCTGAGTGGAAGCCTTGAACCCTCCTTACTCAGGGCACAGACGAGCAACCTCAGCAGTAGGAGGGGCTTGTGGCAAATGCAGCATCTAGGACACCAGACTAATGTCCTGAATTAGAACCTGCACCATGACAATGTCCTTTTCTCAACAGTGTCCACAATACACTGTAAGAAGCAATGAATAAACCAGAAGCACCTTTGTCCCCTCCATAACAAATAAAAGAAAAAAATAATACTCACCTCATAGAAGTCTAGAACACATTCTCTCTAAAATCCCCCAGATCATCCATAAAAACAAAGCCTGGCATGGTTTATCTAACCAATCTTTACAATAAAGCCAATGCTAATGCACTCAACAAATATTAATGAAGTTCCCACTGTGAGCCAGGCTCCTGTCAAGGTTCTAGGAATTTAGGAGTAAGAACAAAAAAAGGAAACACATTCACTCATGTAGGAATGTTTAGTAGGAGGGAGATAAAATAGAATATATCATAAAAATGGGATGAATAAAAGCTATGACAAAAATAAGTAAAGAAAAACACATGATAATATACAGAGTAGGAGAAATAGAGGAACTTTATCCTCAAAGAAGAACAGCCTTCAAGTACCCACCCTCATTGCAAGGTTATACACATAAGACCAAATTCCTCAAGCATTTCCTAGAAGGGACTGTAGCCACAAGTTTTCTGTGTCCTGTAGCTGCTTAGTCTGAGGTAAACATATTGATGATTATATTAATTACAAACTGTTTGGTCTATGGCTCAGGCTAATTATTAACTAGCTCTTTCATCTTAAACTAACCCATTTCTATTAATCTATGTATCACCACAAGTCTCATGGCTTTACCTGTGTTCCATTATATCTCATTCCCCTGGCAGCACTCAGCATCTCCCTGAATCTGCCTTTCTTCTCCCTGTCTCTTTGTTTAGATTTCCCACTTGGCTCTAACATGTCTTGCCATAGGGCAGAGCAGCTTCTTATTAACCAATGGTAGCAACACATATTCACAGCATACAGAAGGACCATCCCACAGTACTTCTCCTTTTATGTCTAATCAAAAAGGAAGTTTTTCATTTTAACATAATAAAATTATATATAACAAAATAGTTACCAAGCAAGAATTACAGTTACAATATCTGGTCTATTTGTATTTGGCAAAATCAAGGAAAATATTCTATCATCTGTCCTATTTTTGTGAGTCTAAAGTTTATATCTAATTTATCTTTTATTATAACCAAGGAAAACTATAATTATAACTATTTAGTCTTCAACTCCATCAAAGACCCCAGAAGATATAATATTACCTAAGTAAACTGGAAGTGCATTGTAAGCAACTTCCAAAATTCTAGAAATAACAGAGACATCTGGCTGCCTGGACAGTCATCCAAAGTTTCTCTGCAACATTGGGGCATCTATCTTTAGCTTACAGGTCTAGAGTCTCTGGCATACTTTTCAGTGAAGCAGGAAATTTGAAGAACTGTTCTGCCTATTGGCAAAGTTCATCAGTCACTTTCCTCTGTGTACTGCAGAATGTCTGGCAGTTTCTTCTGTGAAGCAGGAACCTGAAGGACCATCTCACCTTGTTTTAGCAAAGTTCAGTGGTCACCTTCCTATGGGTCCTGCATGACCAGTTCATCAAACAGTCCAGGCAAGAACAGTTTCTTGCCCAAATGACTAGCCTTTTCCATATTATAAGCAAACTCCATAATGAGTTTCTTTGATGCCCATTATCCTCTTTGAAGTAATTGGTGCTGTCAGGAGCAGATGTGTATCACTGTCCAGAAAAGTCTAAGTTCTTAAAACATTTAAAATGCCATATTCTGTAGGTCTTTGAAGTGTTTGAAGATTATCTATCTATCTGAAATATATCTCTATATGACCTTGAAAACCTAATTAACATGATTGTAAGTTTGATGCTATATATTGACTATTAATTTGTATTTTTTAACTCTACATTACATTTTTAAATGAGCTAAATAAACATAATATCTTAAACAAGAGCGGAAATATACATATATTATAACAAAATTGACCTTAAATTTGTGTCAATAAACTGAAATCCATACCAGTGTAAAGTATTTTGAGATTAACAATTGTTTTCTGGATTAAAGTATATTCAATAATGTTGCTGGAGAGCTTTTCTCTCTGGGTCCCACCAAGTTCCGCCAGTCCATAATAATCTACATTTTTTTCTCATAATTTCTATATCATGTTCTCCCCTTTTTTAGAAAGAGATTAACTATGACCATTAACCATTTATAATCAACCCCCTTTAAATGAAAATAAACACTTATAAACAATATTTTGGGAGTTTAGGCATAGTTTCCTAGTTGGATGTAGGCTTTCTATTTGAATCCTGTAAGCAATCATAGACAATGTGTGCATGAATGAATGTGGCTGTCCTCCAACAGAAACTACTAATACAGAAACCGAAGTATCAGGCAACTAGGCCATAGTTAGCCTGATCCTAGACTTCTGAGAGTAGGGGGAGGATGAGATTCACCCTGCTTTTTTGAGTTCCTACTATGTGCAACATCCCACACTTGGTGTTGACCATACAAAGGTAAATTTGGTACGCTCTCTACCAACTAACA